TTATTAGTTATCTGTTCAGACTTTCTATTTCATTATTCAGTCTTAGTTGGTTATATATTTCTAGGAATTTATCCATTTCTCCTAGGTTATCCAGTTTATAGGCATATAATTTTTCATAGTAGTTTCTTATAATCTTATGTGGCATCATTTGTAATGGCTCATCTTTCATTTCTGATTTTATTTATGAATCTTCTCTCATTTCTTCTTAGTCTAGCTAAAGATTTGTCAATTTGTCAATATTTTCAAATATAATGCACTTTATGCGCTGAATCATTTTTCCCCCAAATTCATTTGTTAAAGATCTAAATCTCAGTATCTCAGAATGTGACTGTTTTTGAGAAAGAGCCTTTAAAGAAGTAATTAAATTAAAATGAGGTTGTTAGGGTAGGCCCTAATCCAAACTGATGGTGTCTTTCTCAAAAGAGATTAGGACACACAGAGACACCAGGGGTCCATGCATACAAAGGGATGGCCAACTGCAAGTCAAGGAGAGAGGCCTCATAAGAAACCAGACCTGCGGACACTTTAATCTTGGACCTCTAGCTTTCAGAAGTGTGAGAAAATGAACTTCTGTTTTTTAAGCCACATAGACACACAAATACATTTATCTGAATTTGCCATACTGGTAGAGAGCTGACAATAAGTAACAATCCATGTATATGAATTTTGCATACCAGTTAACAAAAAACACAACTTTATCCAACCTACCATACCATATATATGTACTTCTTAAAATAAAATTCCTTATGCTATAATTAATAATTTTTTTTACTCAGGAAATGTTTTTCAGATAGTGTTTATCATATATAGGAAAGTGACAGTAAACATTATTAAGAACAAATTTAAAAATGTTATTAAAAAGAATAGGAAGAATCACACTCATCTTGTCTTTGAAAGACAAAAGATAATTCAAGTAGGAAAAGCATACAACATATGCTTTAGCAACAATACTCATAAAACTTAGGTCAAATTTCTAGGCACTAGGATAAAAAGGAAAGAAATTGTTTGGCATCCTTTTGCAACAACATGAGAAGATTTCGAAGACTAGAAAGCCACCTCAAGTCAGACTACTTCTAGCTTAATCATTCTAAGTTCTTTAAGGGTTACGTAAAAACACGCACAGGCACAAATCTGGTACAAAACTTTGAAGAAATGCTTCAATTTATTTAAAATAATTTTTTACCTTTTGCATTAAAATTTTTCTCAGTGCTTTTTTGTTTTCTAAGGCATTGTTTAGGTTGGTAGTTCCACAGTTTACTACCAGAGAAATGGTTGTACTATTTTACCTTAAAGAGAAGGTAAATTTGCAATATGATAAATGTTGAAATAGTACATGACTTATGAAATTCTCAGTTTCTATTACACAGAATACCTATACTCCTAATCTTTGCTCCAGATCAATACAAATTAATGTTTTACAATACATTTTATCTAAATCTTAAAAAGTAGCAATGAAGGAATAAAGAGAAATTCTTACCACTAGGCAGTACCATGACTGGCTCTGTGAATCTTTGTTCATCTGCCAAAGGCAGGTTCAGGGGGAGGATTAACACCATTCCCAAACTTGTTCCAACAAACAAACAAGGGGAGATGGTGGAGTCATTTTTCCGAGCAAAGGACTCCATGAAGTATAGTGCTGTAATTGCTTCTTTAGAATCTTTGTCAATACTGGAGATGCTAGAGCTTCTAGAACGATTATAGGAATTTTCTCGGTTTTCTATGGAAATTTTAAAAAGCAAATTAAATGTTAGTGTATTTCGAGAAAAAAAATAAAGTCAGACTTAGTACATGAAAACCAAAATTAGGAGGGGGAAGTAGAATCTGATTCTTTAAGTGATCTGGAAGGCAGCTTATCCAGTTTACAAGTTTATTTTGAAGATGGAGACTGAAGTTCAGAAGTGTAAATCATAAACCTAGGCAGAGCTGAAACTAGAACTTGACTCTCCAGAGTTCCAGTTCGCTATGTTTTTCTCTATATATTACTTCACAAATTAGTTGAAATTATCTCATCTAGAAAAAAAAATATTTAGTCTAAAATAATTAAGGTTATAAGAATTTCTGGTACCATTTTAATTATGCTTCCCTCCTATCTCTCAATTGTTGGAAATATTTCTAATGATTTTTTTTGGCAATTCCCACTTACTGACAACATTGTGGCTACTAACCTGAAGAGTCACAAATGTTCTATGGCGAATACATTCCCCTACCACAATTTTTGGTTTTGCTACTTCTGGAGTAATTACAATTGTAAAAACTGAACTATTTATAAAGGCTAAAGAGCTAATGTTATCTCCCTGAACTTGTTTCAAGCTTAACTACCCCGATACAAATTCAGTCCTAACTATCTAGGGCCAAATGAGGAGCCATAGACAGTGCCATCCCATTGACAGTGGTTATCTTCCATAGAGGGCTTCAGCCCACTTAAAGGAAGCAGGATGGTTTTAGGTTCTCCTGGTCATCAACACTTACACGTGTGAACACTCCAGTAAGCATAAACTCACCACCTCAGTTAAATGGTATTAGGAGGTTGTTCTTACAGTCACTCCAGAGTTCATGTTCCTCATATTCTTCTTCCTACTTACTCACTCTCCTTTCCTTCTTGATAGGTAGAAATGTGACTCGTTTATGTAAAAAGAGACAAATATAAATTCCCCAAACTATCCTTTTTCTAGAAAACAAAATATAGTATTCCTAATTTCTTCCCTCCTATCCCTCAGCAAGTTTATAACATAATTATAACAGAACTTAGAGATAAGAGTAAGCTCGGATATAATCTATATATTTTATAGATTTGGAGATGGAAACAGTTAAGTATTCTTCCTAGAATCCAGCACAAGTTAGAGACAGAAAGATCTGAAACTCAAAATTCTCAACTCTCAATACAGTGATTGAATGCTACTTCTTTTATAACATTTATATTTTGCTTCTAAACATTTCTAGCTAATATGTCCCCCAATTTTTCATTCATGATTCATCAACATTCCAGATTGTTAGTCATAGATACTTGTGATAGAGATGATATCTGCATGGACCAGATTTAGTATGGCATAATACTAAAGAAACAATAAAAACTAAAAAAATTATTTAAAAAATTTGAATAATATCATTACTATCAAAGTTTTAGAAGGTGGTAAATCACTGTATACCATCAAATTACCATAGCAAATCTTCCTGAGATTTTTTTTCTCTCTCTATTCAAAGTTTATCAGCAAGACAATAGCAGCACAGTTACAAGATTTCCCCCTTTTCTCCCTCTCTAAAAATTTTTGGTCTTCTGGCTCTTGTACTTTATTCCCTGCCCCCACACTAATTCCATAAATAAGCAAATAATCTTCTTTAAAAACATATGAAGATGAAAATTGCAAACTTTAGAATTCAATATCATGCTTTTTTTCTTGGTAACATGACTGGACACTTGAAGAAATTAAGGTTGCAAGACATTAAATAACTATCTACAAATAGATACTAAGAGGCTTCCCACTGGGATGGATAGAAACTCTCAGTTATTACTGGGAGTATACACAACGGATTAAGACATACTCCTTTGTACAGAAGAGGTGGGAACTTACCAAAAAGCAGAGCCATTCTGGTATTAGAGATGAAGAACAGGTGTAGTGAGAAATGGATTTGGAGTTATGGCTTTCAGTTATTCATTGCCTAAAGTCGACTGTAGTTTCTTATGTCTTTTGCACATGCCCTCCATCCCTTGTCCTTCAGCTCACATAACCATGGCATATCAAATTATAACTGTATTCACAAAAACTTGTATGTTTAACCTACCTTCTGTTGTAACTGGTAAAGAAATTTCCATGCAAGCAGCTGACTGTGCTTTTCGAAATGGTGGTCTTCCCGGACCCCAGCGATTTACTTTGGAAACATCAGCACTAGAAAGACGTTTTCCAGAACTGCAGCTCTGAGAAGTTGGACTTGTGCAGTGCCCATTTACATGATCTGTAGCAAGAGGAAGGCAGCATAAATATTATAATTAATCCTAATAACAAGGAATCCAAGTGTATAGATGAATAAATGAAGAAAAGTGAGAATTCCTTTTTTCAAAACATAAAGATGGCTTAGTCCTTGTTATTTTAAAATGTAGTCAATCTCAATAGCTAGCCAAAAATTTCATATTTATTAAATATAAGATTTATTTTAAAAATCTGACTAGTTAACATAGTTTAATATTCTATATCCCCACTATTCTACCATTTAATGGCAATACAAAATTGGTTATAGTACTGAGCTTTCTTTTGAATGATTAAAATAAACATTTATATAAGTTTTGGAAGTACTTCAAGTACTTGGAGAGTAAGATATATAGAATGAAAGCATCTTACTGTGTAGTTCAGAATGAACTACAATGTACTTAAGAATACTGACTCTAGAGCTAGACTGCCTGGGCTCAAGTCCAAATTCTACCTCTTACTAGTTTTACAAATTATTGAAGTCTTCATGCTTTAGTTTTCTCTTCTGTAAATTGGGAATATAATTATCTGGCTCATGGAGTTTTTGTGATAAAACATGTCGCATGCCAGAATACTTCCTGGTATATGGAAAACTGAACAAAAATTATTGTCATTCTCATTCCAGAGTATTAAAACTGCTCATGTCTAAGACAGTACTGTTTATGTAGAGCTTGTGAGTTTAGCTGCTTTGATATAACTTAAAAACTTTGAAATAATTGCACAAAAATATCTTATTTTTCTTAATGCTAAAAAATATTTGAAATATCTCATAGTTCTGCAATATTCAAAATTTTAATCCATTTTAAATATTCTTCTTTGGTCATTCAAAGGACAGTAGAATTAAATGGAGAATTCATGTTTAATATCCATGTTGGACATGGAGAACTGGCACTCAGTGTCTACTCCATTACAGCTTTTATGTATTGTAGAGTTTCAAAACATAATTGTACATTTCCTAGATTCCCTTGCAGCTCATGCAAGGATGAGAATTAGGTTTCAGTATTTATATGAACTAGTGTGTTTTATTATTTTTAGAATGAGAGTTAACATTTATTGAATACTTAAATGCCAGGCATTTCATGCACGTTATTCATTTAATCTTCTTAACAATCCTGTAAGGTAGGTGCTTTTATTATTCTGATTTTGTAGATGAAACTGAAGCTCAGGAAAAAGATTCAGAAAATTGTACAATATTACATAAGTAGCATGTATGAAGCCAGGGTTCTAATCCAGATTTTCTTATTAAGTATCTCTATGCTTGAAAACTAGGCTACAGGGTCACATAAAATATTTTGTAGGGTTTAGCTGTGGCTTGTGTGATGCACATTGAGATCCAAGCCCTTTAGGGCCAGTCATCTCCCATACTAACATAGATCTCAGAAATCCCAAATTTTCTGGGTAGAAAGACAGAAATATCCCATGAGTGAGCCATGGGAAACCCGAAGTTAAGAGCTCTACCCTTCTTTCACTATCAAATCTAGTCTTATAAATAGGAAGAACTTATAAATAGGAGTGTAACAGCTGAAACTAACAAGGACTTAGAGTGAATTAGAAAATAGCAACTCTTTTGGGGATATAAACTGCAAAAATGAGCCTCCCTCTAGGTACATCAATTAGGACAAGTTGCTCCTTAGATGTGATGCCTTGTTCTGTGGTTTACTGCTTGTCCAGAGGAATGTGGGGTGAATTCACAGCCTTCTTAGCCAGGTACAAGAGTATATGGCAGACCCTGAGAATAGCAAAATTTGTTCACTTAGCTGAGACCCATTGCACTTCTAAGCCAAAGCCCCTGCCTAGCTATTATCATCTCTTGGTGGCTGTTTCATGTAAATTTTCATTTCAGCTCATAATAAAGCAGTATCAATTATTAGATTACTCAACATGCTAGTCTTCCCCCCAGCCATTATCTGCTACAGTGACCAAATTTTCCTCAGGCTCTCATGTTTGAGTTGCAAGGTCAGCTGATATTACCCTTCATGAGCAGCCCAGAGTTTGGGGTCATATATTTGTTTTCAACAGGGATGATTAACTTAGAGGATTTATTTTTGTACTTAAATTTTTAAAATATATGGCAGTATATTTGCTTTCTTTAAAACATTTTTTTTTTACCATGCTAAATATTCAAGATAGATAAGAATTGTTATAAAACATTTAGAAAGAAAAATTTGGTCCTAGCCCAGACAGTCATTCTGGATATTATGATAAAGCAATAATGCTAAATATAAAATGTAAATGAAACCTCTATTGATAAAATTATGCACTGTTGTTTTAGTTATTATAGAAAAAAATGGAAATTAGCTATCTTTTAAAATCGAGCATAATTTTAGGTAAATTGTAGTATATAATCACATAAGAGTATTATAACCTTTAAAGATGTTTCCGAAATGCTTGTTGAAACATAAAATATCTATGATGTGTTTTGGTTAGCTCTTGTTGCATAAAACAAAACAAAACAAAACACTCCCAATGTTAATGATGTAAAATAACAATCATTTGACTATGTTCGCAGATTCTGTGGGCCATGATTAGGCAGGCTAAGGCAAGGTGGCGATATTATATCCATAATGTCTGGGGCCTTAGCTGGAAATGCTTGAATGGATAGGGGGTTTGGAATCCTTTGGAGGTTTCTTTACTCACAAGCCTGAGCTAGAATGATGCAAAGACTGAGTTCAGTTGGGACTGTCAATGGGGGCTTCTTCAGGAGGCTTGGGTTTCCTCGTTGCGTGGTGACCTTTTTTACATAGTGGCTCAGGGCTTCAAAAGGGCTGACAATTAATTTGAAAATGGGATGGAAGCCATATTTCTGCTGCTTTGGTGTTATTGCAATGGAGACTGCTTTGTTTTGAAAATAACATTCCCGTTTCCAATCACAAGCTGTCTGACTTATTTTACTCAGCATGATAACCTCTAGCTCTATCCATGTCATTGCGAATGGTAAGATTTAATTTTTTTCAATGGCTAATATTCCATTATATATATGAACCATAATTTCTTTATCCAATTATCTGTTGATAGGCATTTATGTTGCTTCCATATCTTGGCTATTGTAAGTTGTGCTGCCATGAACATAGGGGTGCACAGATCTTTATGAATTATTATTTTGGTTTCCTTTGGATAAATACCCAGAAGTGCTATTGCTGGGTCAAAAGGTATATCCATTTTTAATTTTCTGAGAAACCTCCAGACTGTACCAAATTGCAATCCCACCAACAGTGTATAAGGGTTCCCTTTTCTCCACATCCTTGCCAACACTTGTTGTTCTTTGATTTATTGACGTTAGCCACTCTGACAGGAGTGAGGCGATATCTCACTGTGGTTTTGTATTTCTCTGATGATTAGTGACTTTGAGCATCTTTTTCATATGTTTATTGGCCATCTGTATTTCCTCTCTGGAGAAATATCTATTCAGGTTTTCTGCCCGTTTTTTAAATGGATTGGTTTTTTTTTCTTGTTGAGTTGTATGAATTCTTTATATATTTTAGATATTAACCTCTTATCAGATGTATCATATATGAATGTCTTCTCCCATTCAGTCAGTTGTCTTTTCATTTTGTTGATTGTTTCCTTTGCTGTGCAAAATGTTTTTAGTTTGATGTCCGTTCCATTTGATTTTTCTTTTGTTTCCCTTGCCCGAGGAGTATGTCTGAAAAACAATTACTAGTAGCAATATCAGATTATTGCCTATGTTTTCTTCTAGAAGTTTTATGGTTTGGGGTCTTACATTTAAGTCTTTAATCCATTTTGAATCTCTTTTTACATACGGTGTAAGAAGGTGATCCAGTTTCTTTCTTTCTTTTGCATGTATCTGTCCAATTTTCCCAGCACCATTTAGAGAAAAATCTATTTTTACCCATTGTATATTCTTGCCTCTTTCATCATCTATTAACTGAGCATATAGGTGTGGATTTACTTCTGGGCTCTCTATTCTGTTCCATTGATCAACGTATCTATTTTTTATGCCAGTACCATGCTGTTTTGATTACTGTAGGCTTGTAAGTATAGTTTGATAACAGGTACTATGATACCTCCAACTTTGTTCTTTTCCAAGATTGCCGTGGCTATTTTGGGTCTTTTATGGTTCCATATAAAGTTTAAGATTATTTGTTCTAGACTTCTGAATATTAATTTTGTATCCTGCTACTTTACTGAATTCACTGATCATTTCTAACAGTTGTTTTGTGGAATCTTTAGGGTTTTCTATATATAGTATCATGTCATTTGTAAATAATGAGAGTTTTACTACTTTTCCAATTCGGATACCTTTTATTTCTCTTTCTTGTCTTATGCCATGGCTAAGACTTCCAATACAATGTTAAACAGGAGTGGTGAAAGTGGGCATCTTAAACTCTTATTTTTAGGGTATTTTTTTCTGAAGAATTTTAAGCTGAAGACTCAACGGGACTGATACAGACTTCCTCTTGAAGTCAGCTTAATTTTCATTACAGGTTTTAATTTGATTTTTCTATAGTAAAGTTTTCATGGCTATGATTTTGTTGTCCTAGCTAAAATGCTTTGAATGAGACAGATTTACATACTCTGAATTTAATGTTTAGTCTCTGAAATCCAAAGTTTCAAAGAGCTTCTTCCTCTTTATTTCTCAATTTCTCATTTTTTCTAGTTTAATTTCTATTGCATTTAAACATCTATTTAAGTGGATTTTAAAAAAGTATTTGAGACCAAATTTATAGTCTTCAGGATAATAATCTCTAATGCCTTAGACTTTGTCACTGATGAATAAAGTGTTTTAACTTTGAATAACAATTATTGAATTTTAAAACTTCAGCTTCATTGATGTATAATTGACATATGAAATTGTAAGATAGTTAAAGTATACATTGTAGTAATTTGATGTATGTGTACATTGTGAAACAATTCCCACCATCTAGTTAATTAACAAATCTATACTTCATGCATCTATTTATCTTTTTGTGTGTGTGAAAACATTTAAGTTCTACTCTATTAGCAAGTTTCAATCATACATTACAGTTT